AAAAAAGAAAAAAAAAAAAAAGAAAAAAAAAAAAAAAAAGCCCAGTAGGTCAGGACAGAGCGGAGCACGGCAGTGCCGCTGCATCCTGCAGGTCGACCTACAGGGGACAGACGACTTTGACGTCCCCGCAATAGTGCGTGCCGTGCGAGCCAATGTTGTCCGCGTCCACGTCGGGTTGTTTGTTGTAACTCTGACCGAGGTGGGCTTTCGGCTCCATTCGCACAGCGGTGCCCCACGCGGCGCGCAGGGCGAGGATGAGGCGTCGAAGCGTGTACTTGTGTCTCGTGTTGTGGCCATGCTGCGGTACGTTGACAGCAGCGTCGCCGAGCTCGTCGTGGGTCTTCCCATTCCGAGTCTTCTTGCCCGCCGCCGCGGCCTGGCAGGCCACGTCGAGGGGGAGACCCAGGCGGCGCTGCACCGTAAGACGCATCGCCCAAGTCTCCATTCGCATATCATCCCGCATGGGGATGGCGTTGAGGAAGGCGCCGGCGCCATCCTGGCTCACCGCCACGAAGCGGACTGCCTCCCGCCAAGCCGCATGCTGCGCCCGCTCCCTGCCCTTGGCCTGCGCCTTGCCCTTCTTGCCGCGAGGAGCAGACCGCGATCCCGCGGAGCCCTCCTGCCTTAGCTCGAGGGCGAGGTCGCGCCAGTTCCTGTTGTGGACCACCGTCGTGAAGCGCCGCTGCGCCTGGTGTAGGAACTCGTGCTTGGACGTGAACTCGGCGAGGGGCAGCAGCTCCTTGGCCTCGACGAGAGTATGCGGCCGGAAGCGCGAGAGCGCCTTCCTCTCAGCCGGCTCCGGCGGCCGCGCGGAGGCGCGCAGCTTCTCGCCCTGGGGAACGAGGAGGGGGGGATGGGCGGTCGGCGTCGGGGTAGAAGCCGCAGGGCGTACGGGGTAGCCGTCACTTTCCCGCCTCGAAAGGGCGGGGCTGTCCCGGAAAGTGAGAGACGCCGGGCAGCGTGGCGCACAACTGAACCCTCCCATACGTGTTTGAGGCTCCTCCTTCGCTGTCCCATCTCCTCAGCTCTTTCCCGCCTGGGCGGGGCAGCGGGTGGGCGCGCGGTGCGGCGTGGCGTGTGAGTGTGTGCGACTGCAACGACGGACCGCTCAAGGGACCATTGGGTTTGTACTATTAACAACGAAGGCGCTAAAAAAAAGAAATTATCCATCAGCTGAAGTCCTGAGTCCGCCTGCAAGGTGTCCCTGTCGGCCTTCCCAGACACCTTGTCGAGGCTGTACAGAGTGCCGAGAGCAGGCGCGCGAATCGCAACGTTATCCTTGCTCAAGCATGGCGAGAGACGACGCCAGCGACACTGACCTAGGAAGGCGTGCAGCCAGGCCAGGTCGCCCCCTGAGCCAGGTCGAGGCGGGTGGGCCGAGTCCCAGCGGCGGCCTCGGCATCGCCCTGAACGGCGGCGGCCTCCGCGCTCCGATAGTCGCTTCCGGCTTCTTGCGCGGACTGCATCACATCGGCGTACTCGAGAAGGCGTCGCACGTCTCCGGCATCTCTGGCGGCTCCATCGCCGCCGCCATCGTCTCCTACTCGCCCACCGACCTCAACGACCTCCTCGCCATGGACCGGCTGCCCTCGCCGCCCGGCAGCATCCCCGACTACCAAAACGGACAGGGAAAGCTCGGAGAGATCGGCGAGAAGGCGCTCCACCGCGTGCTAGTCGGGCCCGCCTTGAAGCAGAGCGCCGCTTCGAACCTCCCGTCGCTCGCGGGCAGCGTCTGCTGCGGCGGCGTGCCGGCTGCGATGCGGACGGCTCTCAACGAAGCCATTCTTGCCCCTCACGGCGTCGACGGCACCAAGCCTCCGGCCGCGCAGTCCGACGCTCGCGAGGGCGTCACTGCAACCATCCCCGGCCGGCCCGAGCCCATCATCTCCTTTTGCATGGCGTCGCCAGAGTGGCCCGACAACCTCTCCCACATCGAGCGCGTGCGGCGGGCCAACGCAGCGACGCTCGGCCGGCTAGGCATCAACTCGGACGGCGAAAAGTACTCTCTGGAGGAGGTGGTT